AATGGAAAAACAAAGCATGAATGATAGCACATCTGTTTACAAAATGGTTTACTTAATATTTTAAAGCCCACTGTAGAAAACTGTTGCTGAGACAAAAAAGATTCCTTTTAAAAGTTTATTGCTCCATGACAATGTACTTGCTCACCCAAGATTTTGATAGAGATGTACAAGATTAATGTTTTCATGCCTGTAAACACAATATCCATTCTGTAGCTCATGGGTCAAGGAGTAATTTTGAATTTTGTGTCTTATTAATTAAGAAATACATTTAATAAAGCTATAGCTCCCATAAATAATGATTCCTCTGATAGATATGAGGAAAGCAAATCAAAACTTTCTGGAAAGGATCCATTATTCCAGGTCTACTGAGAACATTCATGATTCACGGGAAGAGGTCAAAATATCAACATTAACAGGAGTTTAGAAGAAGTTGATTCCAATCCTCATGGATGACTTTGAGGGGTTCAAGACTTCAGTGGAGGAAGTAATTGCAGATGTGGTAGAAACAGCAAGAGAACTAATTAGAAGTGGAACCTGAAGATATGATTGACTTGCTGTAATCTCATGATAAAACCTTAACAAATGAGGAGTTGCTTCTTATGGATGAGCAAAGAAAGTAGTTTCTTGAGATGGAATCGATTCCTGATGAATATGTATAAAGAGTGTTGAAATGACAACAAAGGATTTAGAATATTACATTAAACTTAGTTGATAAAACAGTGGCAGGGTTTGAAAGGATTGACTTCAAGTTTGAAAGAAGTTCTGTTGTGGGTAAAAAGCTTTCAAACAGCAATGCATGCTACAGAGAAATCATTTGTGAAAGGAAGAGTCCACTGATGTGGCAAACTTCATTGTTGTCTTATTTACAGAAGTTGCCAGGGCACCTGAGTGGCTCAGTGGGTTAAAGCCTCTGCCTTGAGCGCCTGGGTGGCTCACTGGGTTAAGCCACTGCCTTCGGCTCAGGTCATGATCTCGGGCTCCTGGGATGGAGTCCTGCATTGGGCTCTCTGCTCAGCAGGGAGCCTGCTTCCCTCTCTCTTTCTCTCTGCCTGCCTCTCTGCCTACTTGTGATCTCTGTCTGTCAAAAAAATAAATAAAATCTTTTAAAAAAAATTTTTTAAAAAGTTGTCACAAGGGAGCCTGGGTAGCTCAGCTGGCTGACTCTTGATTTTGGCTCAGGTCATGATCTTGGGGTTGTGAGATCAAGCCCCTGAGATGGGCTCCATGCTCAGGAGGGAGCCTGTTAAAAATTTTCTCTCTCCCTCTCCCTCTGTGTCTCCCTCTCAGTCTCCCTGCTCACACTCACTTGCATGCTCTCTCTCTAAAATAAATAAATAAAAATCTTAAAAAAAAAAAAAAATTGCCACAGCCACCCCAGCCTTTGGCAACCACCACCCTGATCAGTTAGCAGCCATCAATATAGAGGTAAGATCCTCCATCAGAAAAAGATTATGGCTTGCTGAAAACTGAGACAATGGTTAGTAATTTTTAGCAATAAAGCATTTTCAAATGAAGGCCTATACATTATTTGTTTAGACATAATTCTATTGTGCACTTAATAGACTACAGTATAGTGTAAGCATAGGGGCACCTGGGTGGCTCAGTGGGTTAAAGCCTCTGCCTTTGGCTCAGGTCATGATCTCAGGGTTCTGGGATCGAGCCCCGCATCAGGCTCTCTGCTCAGCGGGGAGCCTGCTTCCTCCCTCTCTCTTCCTGCCTCTCTGCTTCCTTGTGATCTCTCTCTCTGTCAAGTAAATAAATAAATAAAAAATCTTAAAAAATAAAAATAAAAAAAATCATGAAATGCTATAGTGTAAGCATAGCTTTTATATGCACTGGAGAATCCAAAAATTCATTTGATTTGCTTTATTGCAGTGGTTTAGAATACCTTCGAGTTATGCCTGTATATGCTGGCAAAAAGATGATTGTGATTTGAAATATGGTGGTGATATCAGAGATAAGAGAAGACAGAGGATGGGAGAGAAGAGAGAGGATGGGAGAGATAAGAAATACCAATGGGGGAAACCTATAAGAGCTAGTTTTCTACTATTGAAGAGAGTGAAGGAGAGGGAGGATCCCTGGAAGCTCTCAGAACTCAGCAATATTCAGCTAGGCAGATGGCTATTCTACTTGCTGAGAAGGGAAACAGTGCAAGACAGATTGATTTGATGCTGAGAAGATTCAAAAGTCAGTCATGAACATATTAATTTTGATCTCATTATCTCTTTGATCTCCATGAGACATGTTAGGTAGGTGATTGGATATTTGAGTCTGGTCAATCTTTGGACTTGCTACAGCAGAATCATTTGGAACTTTTGATTATCTGTCTCTACCTTAGGGCTAATATACTGGAATCCTCAAGAGGACATAGCCAGTACAATACCCTGAGTTTAGATGCAGTGGAAAAAATTCAGTCATCACTTGACTAGTTAACATTTAAGCTCCTTGAACACATTGAATATCTATAATGTTATGAATAGAAAGACAGCCAGACCAAGTACTAAATCTGTTATTACATTCTAAGAATAAATGTGCTGGACAAACCATGAAACACCTCTGAAGGAAGAGAGCCATATAAAGATTCTTCTTTTTACATTGCCATATTTGTATCAGATGGTGCTGCCACCTTGGCCACAAACTAATTGATCCAAGTACCAGGCCCTAAAAGGCAACCACCCAATGATTCCAGTGGTCCTTGAAATGATCTTTCTTAAGAACTCAGCCCAAATGATGCACCATTCTGGATGGTAATTAATTTACCAAATCATATTTTCTTCTTTGACCAGAGGGGAGGGGAATGGGAAAAATTAAAACTAGAGAAACAGAAGCATTTGGATAAGTAGACCTGGACATGTCTCTGTTTCCTGAAACCTGGTGGAGACATAAGTACCACTGTTACTGAAAGAGAAAAATTAAATGCACTTAGGAGATAGGAGACTAATCTGTCCATGCATTAATTGAAATAGAAATAGGTGGTATGTAGCATCTCTCCCTTCCTGCCACTTTGGTCTCTGTACCTGGTAATTCCTCACAATTGAGCAAACGAAGGGAGAAAGAAGGAATTTGGCCAGTTTGTTTTTGTTTTGTTTGTTTTGTTGTATTTTGTTTTGTTCTACTAACCAGTTATTTGCTGGGTAATTTTTTTAGAACTATTAATCACATCTGCTGAGGCTTTGCTCTCCCAGCAAACTTTTTTTTTATGCTCAATAATGTATAATGATGTTCCACTGCAATTTGAAGAATTACACATTTCAGAGCAATTGTATTATTGTATTTAGCATCTCAATAACATTTCCTATGCTAATTCATCTTTCTTATGATTGAAGCTTCTTAATGTGCTCACAATGCACCATATGTTACCATAGCTTAATCTTGTCTTGAAATATTCATTTCTAGCTCTTGGGGACAGGTAGACTGAATAAAACATGTGGATTTGGCTTTCTCTTTCTCTCCCAACTTTTTTTTTTTTTTTTTTATCAGAAGCAGGAGATTTATCCAGGTATTTACTCGTTATAAATGAGGGCCTAAGTGGCTTATAATAACACCCTGGTAGCCTCTTAAAAGAATTACTGCACTTTCCCAAGCCTTTAACTCATGACCAAAATGACTATCACTGAATGGCCATCTTGGAGGAACAGACAGTAGTAAAGTAAGGTCACATGTGAAAATATGCAATATGACTAACTTCCCTAAATGTTAGGATCCCACATTCTTATGATATTTGAGAGCTAAATATAATGAAAGCTCTTGGGGCTTTCATTTTAAGAATTTCCTTTAAAAATAATATTATTATTCTCTGAGGACAGGAGAACAGTATTACTTTATTTAGTTAAGCCATCCTAAAATAGAACAGAGGAAATCATTAAATAGTGAACATATATCTTTTACTGTTTCCCATTCATGCCAAAACTGGTGTGTCTTAAAAATACAAGATGGCTTGCAATAGGAAATATATCTTCAAATAATGATATTTATCTTTGGAGAGGGAAACCTGATACTATCAATAATTACCCCAGAACAAAGTGCAATACTGATAACCGTGTTATTTACTGTGGTATTACAAACAAACAAACATGGTATTTTATAGCTGCACAGGAAGGAAGTTTATTGAAAGCAGTTATTAATATGTCCATTTGTATTCTACCTCCCTGGAAAAAGCCTCACATCTAGAAAGAACACAGAGTGGAAAATTTCACTCCCAATGTAGACATCTCTCCAGACTCCAGATGAAACTGCTCATCTGGCCTCTCCTGTGGTTGAAACTGAGCTTAATGAGCCACCGGGCCAACGGCCCAAGTGACAGACTGGAACAGGAGCTGCTGGACCGAGCACACTCTGCCTCATGTCAGGAACATTTTTGTGTGAGAAAGAAAAGAGGCTTTCCCTGAATCTGGTGTCAGTCAAAGTTCTAACATACTTAGATATTCTTTTAGCAGTTCCAGTTTTGGGGGAGAAATCTGGGAAAGTGCCAAGATCTGAGCTGGCATTTTTAGTTGTTATTTGAATAGCTGTTACATAAACAGCTAGTAGCTGGCTGATTGGGTTTCTTAGAGCTACTCTTGACACAAGGCAAGGAGGCAACACTTTACATTAAATTTGCCCTAAATTCAAGTTATTCTACTTCACTAAGAAAAAAGCTAAGAAAAAAAAAATAGCAATGGTCTGGCACCATGGACAAGAGTAATTAGGGATTCTGCAAAGATCCCTTCAGGAAAATATGTGAGGAAGGGTAAAAGAAAAATCTTTGTCATTATCTTGGAAAATGAAAATTTCCAGACTGAAATTCTGAGACATCTCTTATTCCTTCTTTAGTTACCCATTTTAGTCTTGATGAAACTTAAGTTATAAGTGGATAAAATATCTTATTGAAAGTCTCATTATTAAGTTATAGAGCTGAGACTAGATCCAGCTTATAATCAAGCATTTGGTCAAGAAAACAGGCAGACTGCCAGCCATGAATTCAACACTCACAGCAACCCGAAACAGTACCTGAACAGTACCTTTCATGGCCGGTGGTGTGTACACGCTCTGCTTCCTTTGCTTTGGGGATGCATTTTGTGACTGTGGACAAAGAGAAAAGAGGAAAAGCATTATTTGAATAAAAATTAGCCCTGTGAGGGAAAAACATTGTGCCATATTTCAAAGAGCTTTCTGATTCTCCCTATTATGATATATAACTCAAATCAATGAGAAATTACAGACATGTTCGCTGACAGCACAGTTTTAAGAGATATATAAAGCGATTTTTATCATAAAACTCTTCATCGCAGTCTTGAAATTACTCTTTTTTGTCACCTAGTATCATTCATTTATTTTTAAAAGAAAGAAGAGACACCAATCTCTTTTGAGGAAAAAAAAACACAACTCCAGAACAATGTATACTCCAAAAGCTATGTCCATGGGATAACTATACCTGCTCATAGGAGTTTTGAGTGGTTCTGGTTAGATAATGAGAGCTTTGGTATGTAATATCAATTATAAACTTCTGGAATTGATACGTTCAAGTTAACATCTACATTTACTTGGAATTACAATGTTGAGATAATATTCTCTTCTATTTTCAACAGATAAATAAGTCTTTTCCTAACAAAACTGGTATGTAATACTCTCACCTACATACACTAGATCAGGGTTGAATGATTGATGAGAGAATTTTTGCAATAAAAATTACAAAAATTGGAACAAAAAACACATGTCATGGTTAAAACCACAAACTAATCATATATATATGAATATATAAATGATATTATTTATTATGATAAAATACATATATGTTGTTTACATCCCAATCAGATTATGTCAAAGATTCCTTTTTCTTAGTGTATTGATTTATATTTCAATGTGGCAAAGGCAGTGGTCTTAATCAATGAGCTTTCATGTCTGGATCATTTTTGCTTTGAAAAAGTTAGGAATAAATATTTACAAGACTTTTTTGGGCAATTATGCTAGGCAAAACTAGAAACTGTTTGATTGACAGTACATAGAATTTGAGGTATCTTCCCTTATACACACTAAAGGTTATTTGCCCTTGAAAGTATCATCAAGATACACTTGCTTGATGCAAAAACAATATATTAAAAAGTAAAAAAAAATTCAACCAATAGTTGTTAAATCTATATCAGCCAAACAAATAGTACAAGCAAATTTCTCCAAAACAGAATGTTTCAGTACCACCAGTTCATTATGCACAGGTATAGACAGAGTGACTCTATGTTAATGTTCAGCGTGTGGATGATTGATATTGCTGGCATCCCTTTACTGTATTTGGTCTCATCTGGTTGATTTCAAAAAGCAATAACTTTTTGGGTTTCTCACATGTTTATTTCCATATACACACTCAAAGATCAAGTAGAAAATTAATCCTACAGAAAAGTTTGTTTAGTACCACGTAGTAAAACTTATCAAGCAATAAAATCTGCTTTATATGTATGTAAGAGTTCAGTTGTCAAGGCATTTTCACATACACAATCTCATTAAATTTTTAGAAAATCTCAAGAGATACTATTTGGTATTTTGTTCTTTCTACATTTTCCTCCGGGTATTGCTCTATGCCTAACTAATACAGCCATGGAATTGACTCATATGTCTGCAGACTGGTCAATATTTGTTCTATTTTTGAGCATAATTTACTCACTTCCTTGTATCCAATATATTTTATATTATCAGCTCTGCAAGCTTCCCCTGGTTCCTATTTTCTATCTGAACTCCCCCATGTGTATGTTAACCTCTAGCCTCAAGGTCTTCTCTTGCCTTCACATACCAGAAGACACTTTAAGAGGTGCCTGCTCCCTATTTTCTTGCTCTAGGACTCCAACATTGGCAGGCCTTAGCCTGTAGTTGGTCATAAACAACTAGTCACTAAATTAAAAATATCAATACCATTATCTTGTCACTAAAAGCAAAGGTTTATTTTACAAGTTTTTTCAGGGGTTGGCATTTCATAGGTCAAGAACGAAAGTAGCACAGAGGCAGAGAATTAACAACCCCATTTTACTATTTCTTCAGTCAGGAAAAGCAAAGTAGTTTCTATATCAGTTGTACTGACATATTTTATAAAACATTAAGCCTACCTAATTATGTTTCTAATTGATTTGAATACCTATTTATACAAAATATAAGAAAACTTACCTCGGCTTGGGTGTTGGTCACCCTCTTGTCATCTATTTCTGCAAAAGAAGTAGATATATTTCATTAGAAAGATGATTTCTTCTTTATAATATGCATGTTAACATTTTTGGCAATTTGATAAAAATAATTAAATAATCTCCTTATGTTTTTAAAGACTTTATTTATTTGACAGAGAGACAGAGAGCACAAACAGTGGGAGTGGCAGGCAGAGGGAGAGGGAGAAGCAGACTCCCCGCTAAGCAAGGAGCCCTGTGTGGCTTGATCCCAGGACCACAGGATCATGACCTGAGCCAAAGGCAGGTGCTTGGCTACCCAGGTGCCCTGCCTTATGTTTATTTAATCTCTGTGGCTTAGGGAAAAGGGGCAGAAGGAGATGGTTTTCTTTTGAGATAATCTTTTCCCTAAGTTTAAAAAAAAAAAGCATTTAAAAAAAAAAAAAGACATCTCTCTTGAAATTCCAAATTGCCCTCCTTCCAGTAATCCAGAAAGGAAACCAGGGAAATGGCTCTTGAACCAACTGTTGGTGTCATCAACCTCACAGTTTTAAGGCATAAACAATCTCCTTTGTGAATTTTGCTGCCAGTCTGCTCACTGTAGTTTGTCAAATTTCCCCAAGCTGGGCACTAAGCTGAACAAAGCTCCTTTTCCATTCTGTCCTATCACTCTGACTCAGAGAGTGGCAGCATCCTCTTTTCCATATGCCCCTGTAAAGAATGTTACTTTGTCAGAAGTATTTCTTATAACAAACCTAGGGAAATGTGTAGGCTATCTCTATAAAAAGGAAATGTGAGAAGGAGGAGAGAGGAGTAAGAGGTGCTCATGTATTGCCCTTCAATGGGTGGAGGACCTCTGGGCTGAGTTTCTTTCATACCTCTTCATCTACTCTACATGGATCTTGACTTTTTTTTTTTTAACATTTAAATGTTTAGTTGACTTCCTTAAAACATCTCTCTCTCTCTCTCTCATCTGTACTGCAGAGGTTGGATTTCTCTACATTTCAAAAAATAGGACTTGAAGGGGAACCTGTGTGGCTCAGTCAGTTAATTGTCCCACTCCTAATCTCAGCTCAGGTCTTGATCTCAGGGTGATGAGCTCAAGCCCCAAGTCGGGCTTCACCCTGAGCATGGAGCCTACTTAAAAAAGAAAAAAAAAAAAAATAGGACTTGGAGACTCTCTTCTCCAACCAAACTGCAGCCAGATGTTGTGCAATCCCTAACTGCCAGGTCCCAGAGACTACTGCAGCATCGCAACTACTGGAAGTGGTCAATGTGGATTCCCATTTGGGACGCCTGACAGGGGTAGGGGGTGATCGTTCAAACTTGCAAACCACAAAGCTATCCTATATTGTCAAAGCCATCTGACTTCAACTCTCCTGAAACATCCAGACATGTAGAAACTTAGTCTCCTACCTTTTAAAATGTTCACAGGCTTTGCAGTTACCCCAGCCAGCAATTGTAAGAAATCCTGCCCTACGCTGGGCAGGGCTGACTGGCCCTCCAGTCCCTGTGAGGAGGCAGTCCGGTGCTGGCTGTCAACAATGGTAACTGCTAATCTCAGGGAACACAGGAGAGAGGTAGGAACACTAACCTGGTTTTCCTACAGAAGGCTGCGTTTAACCTTCTTGCACTTTATCCTAATGTTCGCTTCAGTGGGAAGGTAAACCTTTTATTCCACTGAGTGGCATATTTAATACTGAAGGCAGGATATTGAGCTATGCTCAGTGGCAATAAATTTGGTCAAGTTTAAGAAAAAAGTCCTAGACTTTGCACCGCGTGTGAATTTGGCACTAAATTCACATCCAAAGAAACATGCCTCAACATGGGCTCTGTCTAAAGCTCTTATCTGGGTGGGATCTTGGAAGGCCTCCAACCAGAAGAACCCAGATGTCCTGCACAGGTGTGTGTCTTCGCTCCACAACGCAGCCGGAGGGCTTGAGAGTCAGCAGGTCAGTCAAATGCCCCGGAGCGGCCACTGCAGGCTTCCCGCAGAACATTTCAGAAACAACTCTGCGGCTGTCTTCTAGCTTCTCATTGCACATGAGTATGCACAGGTCCAGGGGCAGCTTTCTGGAACGGGTCGTCAGCACCTGTCTCCCTACCTCCTGGAAGATGAGTCCGCACTCCAGGTTCATCATGAGCATGGACAGGAGCCACACCTTGGTTCGCTCCAGCGCCACCACCCCCACATTCCAGCCATTAAACTGAATTTCTTCGGGATGATTTCCACCCTTCCTCGAACCTGTCCAGGGTCGGCCCAGGCGTGGAAGCACATGAACCTCTCCAGGTCCGAGTCTCTGTAGCTGTGTGCGTGTATGTTTGGGGAAGGGGGCGGTGTTTCTGGGGGGTACACGCAGTGGTGGTGCCTGTTGAGCACACGGACGTAGAGCCTGGCTGACACTCCCGTGATGAGCCGCCAATGTGCGTGAGCTCGGGGAACCGGCAGGGCCCGGGCTGACGTTGGACAGGTCGTTTTCCAACCTGTGGCGATGGACCATAATACCGATCTGTCCGCGTCCTCAGCCTCCTCGCAGGCCCAGGCCCAACGGTTTCCCGGGAGGTACTTCCTGGCGCATTGCACCAGCTGCGCATGCTCCGACTCACCCCAGCCTGCGCGGTGGGGTCTGGGGTGTGGTTAGCAGTTTGAGAAGAACGAAGGGCTTCACCGTCCATCTTGGCTGTGTTTTCAGTGGCACAGAAACGGTGGAGACTCACTGTGTTCTCCCAGTAAGCGGTCTCAGGAATACCCTCGGGGAGAAGTGGTTCTGGGTCAGGCCGCCTATGGAGGACCTCCTACTCGGATGGACAGGTGTTTGCATCTTTCCCAGTGAGCCTGGATTGTGGGAGCACGTGGGCAACAAGACGGCCGCAGTGTGCCGGCCTCTCCAGTCAGCGGACGCGGTGCACGCGGCGCTCTTGACGCCTGGAGGGCCACAGAGAAGAGCCCGTGATTTTCCAAGGTAAGCAGAACTTGTCCTTTGCTCAGATCCACCAGAAGGCGAAAATGTCAGTTTTTCCACTAAGCTGTTTTGCCGCAGATCTCTATACTGAATCAGGAAGAATGCCTGCGGTACAAAATTGTCCACGCGCGTTTGGGGAGGCCACCCGGAAGCGAGCGATCCGCTGTGATTACTTCAGTTTCAAACTTTTCCTGTCCATCCCCTGGAGCCAAAATGGGCGTGGGCACTGCGGGTAAGGGTGAAGAGAGTGGGGTAGTGGGGAAAAGCACCGCCGCTGCTGACTTGTGCGTGTGCGTGCCGGCTCCAGAGCCTGCCTCCCGCTGCCTCCCCCACTTTAGCCGCCGTGGTGTGGGGGGGTGGGTCTCCCCGCCTCTTGACTTACTGGCTCAGTTACCCTTTCCTGACTCTTAGATGAGTGCCAAAGCTGAGAGACTGAGTCCATGGTCTGAAAACTGAATGAGTTCATCAAAGAATAACTGCCTGAAGACAGTGATGTAGATCTGCATTTACTGACATGAAAACATATACTGTGTAGATTAAAAGAATTTCAAAACTATACATATGTAATTTTTATTTCATGAAGTATAGATAAACTATCTGGAGAGAGGCGATAGATAGAGAAATGCCTGTATATTCATAGGATATAGTCAGTATTTTAACTGTAGTACCTCTCGATGATTCAATAACTTGTTCTGTCTCCTCTCTATCTGCACTGTTTCTTATTCTAGTGAACCTACGTTACTTTCATAATGAAAAACTATGTGTATCATGTGGATATATAGAAACATATATGTAGTAAAATTTCTATGTAAGATCACAGTGGTATTTCATATAATAAGAGACCAAAATAGACAAGCAGCAAATAAATTAATTAAATAAATCTAAAAAATAAAAAAATAGATAAGCAGCCAGAATGAATAGTGTATGGATATGGGTACGGATAGATAAACAGCTAGAATGAATAATAGTGATTATTCATTCTAATTTAATGTTTTGAGTACGAGATTTTTTAGAAGTTATGAAACCTTCTAATGAATTTACCCTCCCTTGTATAGGGGTAGGCAAACAAATTATTGGCTGAGGACAGCAATCACAATTGTTTGATATAATCACTGGAAGTATCTGGGTGATTATCCGATAGCTGTGACTATACTAAATTGAGCAATTCTATCAATGCAAAATCTTTTGCTATCATCTTTTAAGTAAATGTCAAATATGATCCATTTCAACAATGCGTGTATTATGATCCATTGGATTGTTAAATGCCAGTAGTGTTTCTTTTCTTTTTTTTTTTTTTTAAATCTGTTTATTTCTTTTAGAGAATACAGAGGGGAGAGACAGAGGTAGAGGGAGAGAGAAGCTCAAGAAGACTCCACCCTGAGCTGGAGATTACTCTGGGCTCCATCTTAGACCCTGAGGTCACAACCTGAGCTGAGACCAAGAGTCAGAAGCTTAACCTAATGTACCACTCAGGCACTCCGACCAGTGGTGTTTCTTAATATTTTGTTTATTCCCTAGGAGTTTTCAGAATTCAGCCCAGGACTCAGAACCTATTGCTTTAAGGACAAAATGGTATCGAGTCATTCAGCCTTGTGCTTTCCTGCTGTATGACTAAAACACAAACTAAAACAGTGTCTTTCCAATGCAACTGTGTAGACTTCATTCGTTGCATAATTCAATGAAAAAGGATTTTATTCTTCTTGGTTCATTTTTCTTATTAATATTTGTCTTGAACAGATTAGGTTAGCCAGATAAAAGTCCTTTTTAAAAAAAAAACAATTTTGTTTTACATTACAAGCCTGTTTTGCATGAATCCAAAGTAGCTTATATTTCTTCTCTACTCTGAATTTTGGGGAGGTATCAAAAAAGAAACATAAATTACATTTTGTTTAGAATTCAAACATATGGTTTTTTCCACTACACTCATTTGAGGCTTGTTCTAATTAGCTGACAAAAATTTAGTCTATTTTAGTCACCTGACAACAAATTAGAATCAAACGTGTTTGTTATATGATTATATGATCATTTGATTTTACTGAAAATATTAGCACATAAGAAAAACTGCATATTTTGTGATTTCAG